TGAAAATGTGTCCCTTTCGTCATTGAAAAGGTGCCCATCCGAGAGGGGAAATCATCTTCCGATAGAATGCCTTGCTCTTCTGAAAAAAGTTACATTTTTTAAAAATGCAGAATTCTGTATTCATTACAATACATTCTATCATTATTTAAAGAAACGTATGAGAACTATCACTCATTGGATTTTATAGTTTTCATTTTATTAAGGTATTACTTGCATGTGATTTTTACATTTGCAAGGCTTTTTTCTCCAAAATCTGGCTCAAATGGACTTGTACATGCCATGTCTAATACAATGGTGCTTAGTAAAGCGTGCTATGGAATGCTGTGATAAATATATCATGTGAAAACATCCCGGCCCCTGGATACGTCACTGATGTCTTTCTATTGCACATGCATAACGATGAAAATATTTTTCTTTACATGCTTTTCAATTCGTCTACAAAAGCTCTCCTAGGTTAAAGTTCAGACTACAAACCAGGCAATTGACTTTATTTCATTAGATTTTTGTCTTCTCTTCCATCAATGGCAAGTAGTGCCTGAATTGATTACACCTGGTATTACTTCAGCGGAGCGGTAAAATCTCACATTTAGGCAATTTACAAAGAGAAAGCAAATTTGATCTCACCGTAGGGGTCACAAGATTTATAATTTTCATGTCAATCTGACATATTTAGTGTCGTCATTAAATTAGTTTTAAGTAATACCAGGTGTAATCAATTCAGGCACTACTTGCCATTGATGGAAGAGAAGACAAAAATCGAAAGAAATGTATTTTGTTACGCACTATTATTTTTGTAAATAGAAAATAGAAAGAAAAAAAAAGAAAAGAATTGAATAGTGACATATTGTTGATGATCACTACATTATTCAAGTAAAAAACAATGAACCCTTCGGTGGGCCCAGATTTACGACTTAATCACGAAAAGAGACCTTCAACATTTTAAATGAAAGTTGAAGGTGCCTACGTTGGACTGAGATCAGTGACTCTCATCAATGAGTTCAACACAACCAGCATATAGCATAATGTTTCAATTTTTCAGTCATTAACCTACACGTGGGCTATTGGGCCGTTATGAATAGCTTAGGGCTGCGGTGGGGAGGGGGGGGGGGGGGGGGGGGGGCTCAGTTACCCCAAACATAGTTTAATATTGGTAGACTTGATACGTATTTTTACTTAAACACACTTCCAAGTGTCTTTAAAAAAAAGAAATATCATTCGCATTAAAGTTTCAAGCTCTTAAATCACTGATTTTACATTTGGGTCCTTAAAAACAGATTTTTGGTACCTAAACATATTTGGTCTATAAAGCCTCATACCGAAAATGTATTATGATAGTTTTGTACCGGGATATAGAGGGTTTCAAGCAGTCCTCTTGACGGTCGTAAGTAGCTGATTCTTTTGGCTCTTTTAGAGAAACAGGTCTATGTGATATGTTTCATTGTGCTGTTCATGGTAGGTTTTCTTCACCAAGCAAACATTTTTAGCCAACATTTTCGATCTGAATTGCACAAAAAAAAAAAAAATTGGCCCCTATACTATTACGATTTCGCACTTGGGACACAATTGGCCAAAATTCAAATTTTACACTTGAATCAATGATTTCAAAAGGAAACTCCGTTTCCCTGCTGTGCAGGCTATGAACCTAACTTCCATGTAAGCAATGCAAACACTAATTTCTATAATAACAATTGTCTGGCATTTACTATGGACTTTAACCCAGGGAACCTTTTGTTGAAAAGTGTTGAAAAGTGGGTTGAGAATAATACATCTCTTCATCGTTATGCATGAATATTAGACATACACCGGTGGCTGATCCAGGAACCAGAAAACACCTACTTTTAGCCCCCTCCCCCCCCCCCCCCCCCCCCCCCCCCCGCCCACACACCAAAAATACGACGATCAAAAAGGGGGAAGGGTAGACTTAATATAGGAGTTCATGACTTTTTGTTTTGTATTTTTTTGTTTTTTATTGCATGATGTTTAGACTTATACGCATAAACTGTGGCAAACTGAAATATCTTAAAGGTTCTATGTTCTATTTGAAGGCCAAACAAATGAAAAGGCTAAATTCTAACGAAATTTGAAAGACAATACTAATTTAGAACTTGCCTAAAAAAAGGGGGACTTGAAAATGTCTTTAAATAGGAAAATAACGACTATTAGTTGTTGAATCGACTTAGGAGCTATAGAACCAGTAGGTAATAGTCTCATTTGTCAGACCATCGTACCGAATCGTCGTACGTTATATGCTGCCCAAAGATTCAATCAGTTTCATTTTAGCCATTACAAGAAGTGGGTTATTGATGTAGACAAATGCTCATGTTCCCTCTACAGCTCATTGTATGAATGTTATTACCCAAGATGAAAAAAGCCAGTCAGTCACTCAATAGTGTCTGAAAGTGAAGTCTAGCAAGTAAACGGGTTTCCTTGCATTTTTTGAATATTAGGACACTGCTAATGTTTAAATTTTACAGCTTGGACATACATGACATATTCATAATTCCTGAAAAGTTCTACAGAATTTGAGGTTGGCTGCAAAAGGGACATAGTATCTTTAAATATATGATTCCTTTTTTTTTAAATCAATATCCCCTCGTTGAAAAGAAAAGTAAAAGCACATTAAAGTCAAGATTAATTGCTGTTAGGAATATACACGACTCTATAAAAATGCACAATAAAAACACAGTACATAACATAATATATTGAAACATAATGTATAGGTCATACCTGATTTAAAACATCTTGAAATCCATCAGCTGTTGAGAATCGTCACAAACTTAAATTAGGTGGGTCATATAGTTAATGAAAAGCTATCTTTAAAATGCTACCAAAATAATAAAATAATAATACAAATAGTCTGTTTTTCCCTGCAAAATGTCAAATCTCAAATAAAGGATATCTCAAGTACCTTACAATTGTATTTTCAACGAGTGTTAAACATGAGAGTAGGTAGATCAGAACATGGATCTACTTATTACTTATCATCACAATCATTATAACTGTATTGTCATTATTTTAGTTGCGAAATTACCATTATTCGAATAATAGAGGCAAAAGTTGTTTCTGTTACCAAAAAAAATGTAGTGTATGTAAACATTCATAATGTGTGTCAGTGTTCGCGTAAGTACATGTATATACGTGGATTGTGCCCGGAAACTATGCGTGACCGTAGACCTTAGGTAGCGTGCGTGCGCTTGTGTAGGTGTTCGCGCGAGAAGTCTCGGCGTCTGATTACGACCATTACCTACTCCACAGCCCCCCCCCCCCTACACCCTCCTCAGAAAAGGATATATGCCACTGAACATTTGAATTCTTAAAGCACAACATACAGTCGAAATACGGTTTCGTTTCTTGGGGAAATACACATGGAATTGAAAGCAATTCAACAATACCTTCCTTCAAGCTAAGAAGTAATTTTTTGTTTGTAAAATATATGCAACTCTTTGTCAAAAAGCATTTGTTCTTTGTATTCCCTACTTTAAGTAATGTAAGTTATTAAAAAAAACGGACTAACATGCACTTCACTAAAGGCCGACGCCTGGTGCAGCGGTGTGTGCAGGATCGACTCGCTCATTCCAGATTATCCTACTTGTCCGAGAGCCCACGAGACCAACATTAACAAAGAAATACTTGACTGACGGTGCACTAGAGCGACAGCCCAAGGGGTTCACAATGACACACTTAGCTTCAAGAATTCAATATTGACAAGAGGTTCACAAGACTGCGCCTTTCACTAGATCCGATCGTGGCCGACAAAAATAAAATGCATGAGAAAATATAGAAATGGAAAAAGTTTCAAAAGGTCCACGAGGCCCATGAGGCCCGTTAGACTGATGAAAGAAAGAAATACTAGGGGAAGATAGAAAAGAATACTGGTATCCTGGGCTGTAGCCTACATCGAGAGATGTAGACAAATTAGTTCAGGTAAATGCCAAAACAACTTTTATAAAATTTTGCTATGTGGGAACTTTCTTGCGAGTCCAAGAAAAAAAGGGGTAATTTTGGAAGCAGATTTCATGATAGATTCTGTGATTAGATATTAAAATAGCACTAACAGTCATTTCCCATGATTGCATAACTATCAATGTGAATGATACAACTATTTTTGCGTTATTTGAGCTAATACAGAACATTTGAAGCGGTTTTCAGTTTGTATTTATACTAATGTTGACGTATCATGGGTAAAAGCAAGAAATCGTGTGATCAAGTGGATAAGCTCGATAGAAATGTTTTCATAAACTATCCCTGCGACTAGCTGGTTTCGGCTCATTCTAAATAGCCAACCGAGCATATTTTCTCTTGTCATGTACTTTAGCATTGCATTCCATTAAAGCCTAGATGAGGTCATGGTGACGCACTATCTCGATGATGTTCTACACAGCAACACCCGTTTCTCACAAAAGGATCCGCCATTTTCTTCAACGACTGTTCAATCGGTTAGTTCGGTAAACTTTTCGGATAAAAAGTAGAAAGCTAAATTTTAAGAAAAATTCCTAGCGTTTTGTCGTGGGACAATTGTATGCACTGATTTGCCAACTGATTAGACAATTTACAATTTCATTTTGAAGCAACAAACCTTTGATTGTATATTTGGATGGACCGGAGCACGTTGGTTATATGAAGGAAATCAGATCAATACAGTGGAGATAACAAACTTGAACTAACAGCGCCAGGACTTTCCGAGACGGATTCTTTAATTATAACATTTGAATTATGCTCGTTAGTATAACTTTATCAAATTAGAATCATTCCCCTGCCTAGTTTCAATTCACAATCATTAGTAGGCTTCGAACAGTTTAAACCTGCCTGCAGGGTAACACAGAAAGATATATTCCTCTGAGGCTGTAGAGCGGGTAAATTAAATGACGTATTCAGTCTTTTCTAAGAACAATTTACAGAACACAAATGTGACTTAATTGACAAACACGATATATAAAGTCTAGAACGTAGAAATATCTATAAGATTTGCTTCACAATTGGGTCCACAGCCAAAGCAAAACATGGGTGTAAGAGCATCGAAAGAGCGCGATGAGGTCGATAAAGCCTTTCGTACGGCAGCTTCAGAGGGTCATCTTGATGTAGTTAAGTTTTTCGTTGGTAAAGGAGCACAGATTGAGAAGCCTAATAAACATTTTGGTGCGACGGCTCTCCTCTTAGCATCAGCTCGCGGTCACCTTCATGTAGTTAAGTACCTCGTTGGTATTGGAGCACAGATTGACACGTGTGATATTACGTATGGTGATACACCACTTCACACTGCATCAAGCCAGGGTTACCTCGATGTAGTTCGGTACCTTGTCAGTCAAGGAGCACCGATAGAGAAGGTTAATGCAAATGGTTGCACCCCACTTCTTATTGCAGCAGGTGAGGGTCGTCTTGATGTAGTTGAGTACCTCTTTAGTCAAGGAGCAAATGGAGAGGCGACCAATATTCATGGTACGACAGCACTTATTGGTACATCGGAGAATGGTCACCTCGATGTAGTTCAGTACCTCGTTGGTCAAGGAGCAGAGTTAGAGAGGGGTGAGGAGGATGGTATGAGACCTCTTCATGTTGCATCAATCAATGGTCATCTTGGTTTAGTTCAGTACCTCGTTGGTCAAGGAGCAGAGTTAGAGAGGGGTAATAAAGATGGTATGACACCTCTTCATTTTGCATCAGTCAATGGTCATCTTGATGTAGTTCAGTACCTCGTTGGTCAAGGAGCACAGATAGAGCGGGAAGATAATGTTGGTAACTCCGCACTTATTATTGCATCAATCCGTGGTCATATGCATGTAATTGAGTATCTCCAAAGTGAACAAGAACGGAGGAAAGAAGTACCACCTGAAGGTATGATTTGCATTTTAACAGTAATCACTATTTCACTTTAAAAAGCGATATATTTATTAAGACAGAACTATCTTAATACTTTTTTTTCATGTTTTTGTTGTTATCGTTTACTTTTTTCAAAGGTGCTTGTTGACAAATCCCAAAATAAATAAATTCGATGTAATTTCATTTCCTTAAATCGTTTAAATGATGAACTTTTTACCCGGCCTTACCAAGATTGTAGACCCATATTCAGCAAATTTTCCTGATCCTATAACTGAACTATTTTTAATCAAAATAAATTATGTATTGCCGTATGATCACATGCCACTTGGTCCAACACCCAGCTCGTCCAACTTCATTTTAGTCTACACCCAGTTGTCATGGGTAAATTCGATAAACCCGCTATACATGGTCAGTCATCATGCTAGTCAATTATTGACCGATAGGGCCAATAGCCACTTGTCTGTAACAAATTGGTAAAATGGCCACTTCGTCCAATCTATGTTTTTTTGTTTGCCTTTTGGTCCAATTGCATTTTGTCTAATATAAACCCAATTAGACCAGTTTCTATTTAGTCCAAGCATTATTTTTCCGTTTGTTTATTATTTCATTTGCTCTATTTTAATTACGTCCAATCCCATTCCTTTTCATAACCATATGGTTCAATCATCATTTGGTCTAAACATCATTAGGCCAAATTTTGAATTTTGTGTATTTGCCGATTGGTCTAATTACCAGTTTTACCCATTACGTTTAGGTCTATGTCTAAATGACCGATTATTCTTGGATTTATTTTTTTAAACCAAGAAGGAACTTAAAGGTTTATATATAGATCCGCAGTATTTTCTCATTATCTTCGGATTAACTTCGGGGATAGAAGGAGTAGGTCATGCGAAATAGTAGCATGTTCTAACAATAAATTATTGGTCCTGTTTCATAAAACTTGTTATCAATAACAAATTATATGACAATTGTGCTCTCATCTAATTAAGTGCCAATTTTGTTGAGCTTATGACAGCTATTGTAGCTTGTTATTGATAAACGGTTTTATAAAACACAGCCCTGATCCGAGTGACATTGTAGATCCCCGAATTTAGACTTAATCACAAACTCTGTTGAAGATTTGGATTGTTCAATGTGCATTTATTACAAAATATATTGTTATTTGAACGTATTGGACCGAATGGATATTGGACTTAGAGACTAATCCCGGGGGGGGGGGAGGGGTGGCAGTCAAATCAGTTGCTCATACTAGCAAATGCGCCAAACACAATAAAAAGAGAGAGAACAAAAATAACTGTAAACGTGATAACGGTTGTTTTTGTTGGTTAAAGCCCATTACGCTTAGACAAAATGAATGATTATTTGACTAAATGGGTGATGGAAAAAATGTTGTTGTACGAGATGATGTTAGACCATATTTAAATTGGACCAAATGGTAATTTACACCTATTTTTGTGTACCTAGGGTCAGCAAGTGTTTCTGAGGCGTCCACCGCGATGGCATCAATGAGTTTGAACGTCGTTACCGATGACAGTGTTAATCAGGAAGGTACAAAATCTGCAATACGCCTAATTAATTTATCGACTAAAAATAGTCTAAAAACATGATATTTTTAATAACAAGAGAGTAAAGATGAGTTTTTAATACAATTTTAAATGTAAAGTTTGTGCAGTAAATGCTTGATTTGGTATGAGTTTTACGCTGATCAAAACAACTAAAACAGTTTGTTTCCTTCCCACCCTGAAAGCAAAATCGATAGGATCACTGCATAATAGTTATCGCCATAGCGTATTGAGAGAGATAGTTGTGGCACCCGCACACGTACTCGATCAAGGCTCAATTTATGAATCTCAAAATAGTTCCCTCCCACATACAATTATATGGAAGGGAACTAATTAAGCATTCCATGACCTGCATCTTGAGTGCGTGCGTGTGTCACTGTGTCACAACTATATCTCTCAATACGTTATGCTAATTGATTCATCGTTACATGATAAACATTTTCGTTAAAACTTTCTTGAAGAAATCACTACTTACAAAGTGATCAACTCATTCAACTCGTGATATTGTAAACAGTATGTAAGCTTTCTACTGAGCACTTTTCCTATTATAATTTCTACATTATTCAATTGCTCAAAATAGCACTAGTTTTAAATTATGAAACAAACATGTATGCTATAATCCTTTAAAAAAATGCTTTAAATTTTAACGTATTTAAATTTATTTGGTCACAGCGGCCTCTGATGAAAATATGGTTTGTTAATTTAACTTTATTTCGTTGCAGATGCAGAGAGGGTGACGTACGAACATATCAAGAACTTGTCAAAACTACTCGGTATAAATCATTTCGACCCGATTTGCGAAGCCTTTAGCTTTGATCGCAAAAGTTCACTGAACCTCTTAGACGAGAACGATTCCGATTACAGTGCAACCTTCGAGCAACTACTGAGCGGATGGAAATCAGGTAAGAACCTGAACGACCTGGACAAGTTACTGAAGGAATCAGGAATTAGATTAACATCGTCTTACAAAAAAAATACTCAAAAGTAAAATCAATAATCGAATGCTTTATTTCATTTGTTAATGAATTTACTTGACAAACTAGTGACACGACCACGAATCAACTCAATAGCAATTTCAAAAGCCTAAAGCCTATTCTACAGAAATCATGTTCATATTACGTAATACGTCATTTTAATGTTCACATATTTCCAGAGGTGATGGACGAGGCTATTGAAATTGGAATCTCACATTATGAGTGTTTACTTTATATGTTGAAAAGTAATTTTTAATGTCTGGAAATATGTGTTAATGTAATATTCAATTATTCTGCACTACGTTATTAAACTAAGACTTTTGTCAAAACCAAACAAACAAGTTGATTTCTCGACAGTAGTTGCGATTTTGTTATGTATAGCATCCATACATTATCTAATATTCTTACCATACTCAATTGCCGTTGTTATATACATGTATCTTATATAATTATGTTAGCTGTACATGCGAATTCTTAAAATGAATTTGATTTATTTCCATACCTTCCTAACCTAAACATACCATTGGTGTTCAGAATGCATAATGTATGAAAGTCAAAATGTATTAAGGTGCAAAAACAAAGGAATATTTCGTAAACTTAGTATCGTTTACAAAATATTATAAATGTAAATTTCTTGTGACTGAATTGTACATAGACTATATTGACTTGAGAGAGGGTTGATAATATACAATCAAAATTTGTACTTAAATTTATAAGGAGTGTTCTAAGTTTGCTTCTATTTTGATTATCTACATTGTATACACACGCCTAGTGAGCATTGCGATATATTTACAACTGCCAATAGGGGCCTACCTAACAACGTTTACATGTAGACATATTTGGAAATAAAAATGTATTTGACTGTGAAAGCAAATTATCAATACGGCGCCTTATTCATACAGTATTGTGAATGTCTTATCTGGCAACAGAATTGTACATAGACCATACAGACTATTCTAAAATGGTGTTGAAAGAAGATATGTTAGTTTTAGTCAGATAGTTATATCACTTTAAAGATTTGTTTTTCTCTTTACGTTTTCACATCAGTTATGTACCATGTATATAGTTTCTATAGGCCTTTGCATTTACAGATTATTTTGATGACAAACCGGTGATGAGTTTATTCCGTATCCATAGTTCCTAATTTCATCATGTCATTTGTTTGTATATATCTAACCAAAGTTGAGATTTCCACGCATCAATATGTAACAAATGAATTCACACATGTACAGGGTGAGTCACAACAAAGAAATACAGATTCAATTCTATAAATAACACGACCGCAACTTTTTTAGAAAATTCAACTCAAAGGGAATTTCAATGCCCTATTGTATGTCTAATGGAAATCATGTTGAGCTTACTTAATACGTCATTGTCACGTTCGTACATCTCAATACTCATTTCCCCCAATAGACTGTATAGTGTTATAAAAGCCATTGGGAAAACGGTTAAAAATCTCAATTTCAAATTCCAATCATAAATATCTTGATAATCAGACGGGCATTTGGCATGTAAACGTCATGGGATTCCTGACTGACCTTAAGGTTTATAATCATGATTGCAGCATGAGCTAAATCCAGGATTGTGTTTAGAATCTGAGAAAAAAAGATACCCAATCCCTTTAAAGGTATAGACCAGTTTTGGAAACGCCCCTCTCTCCAAAAATGAAATGGAAACTCTCATTACCAATCATGTGAAAGAATATGCTTTGACTAATACGTGATGATACAAATTTTGCCGGAAAACCGCCTACTAATTGAAATATTTGGTAAATTATGATATCTATTGGGACCAAATAGATATCGCGCACGAGGTCGCGTAGTCCCATATTCATCTTTCTGTGTACAGTGCTTGTAACTTTACCAAGACTGGGCCAAATTTCTTATCATTTCAATACCCTATTGTATGTCCCATGAAAATCACGTTTGATAAATCATGTTCGCAGATTCCAATAGGTGACGCACAAGGCTATTGTAATTGCCTTAGGTTAATATTTCTTAAGTAGTTGCTATCGTATTAATATTGATTCCTTTTTGTCTCTGTACTACATGAGCGGAACCCGGGATTTCAGTTGATAATGTAGTGTGCTCCCCATTGATGTCTGCTGGCTGTCTCGCCCGGCGTGGCGGTCCTTGGCAATTGCCTGAGGGCTACTTGCTTGCGTCGAGAGATTATTTTTAATTTTTTTTTCTTTCCCTTTTTGTGTTACATATTTGGCGTTTATCGATCGCCATGCTTACTACTGCCCGATTGGCTTGGCAAGCGGGATCGGGACGCCGGGTTGGGGGAGGGGGGTTATGGATGAGGGGGTTGTATGGGTGCGTTCATGTGTGTGGTTGAGTATCGTGTGTGCGTTTGTTTGATATCGTTTACATGTGGAGGGGGACAGAGGTTTCACACCAGTGGATCGGACCCTGTTTAATATATTGTGCCCTTGATCGCCAGTCTGGACGTTCTTGCTGGGGTCATCGGGAGGTCGTGGGGTCATTACACTAAGCCTAGGTCTTGTTCATGTAAAATCAATTTCAAATGCTTTTAATACTACTAATTAAGTCACTTGTTTGTGTGTGTTTTTTTTTATTATTATTTTGAATTGTACCTGAATTGTACGAATCTCCTGTAAATATTGTAGTTATATTTGATTCGTTATAATAAAAGACAAACATATATTTTGTTTAATATTCATGCAATCACAATATAATTAGAGACTTAGTCGGTTATGCACAAGTTGCAGCCTGTCATATTTTAATTTTTATTATGACATCTTTTTCAATACAATCACAAAGATAACAGAACATTAGCCACAATGGTTGTATAAATTTGTATCAAAATTATTCCTGTTCATATCACGTTAGTTATGCGTGTAGATTCCCTAATTACAAAGAGGGGCCTACCTAGGAAGGTTTGAAACAAAGAAAAATGTATTGAATACAGTTCCTTATTTGTGAGTTATTGTAAATTTTCTTTCTTCCATAACTCTACATAAACTGTTCTAAAATGGCGTAGAAGGAAAATAATTCAGTATTTATCAAACCTATAACATGCATTATGCCTTTAAATCATGAATTCATTTGTTGGTATCTTTTATTCAATCGTTTAAATTGTAGATAGTCATGAAAGTACTTGTAATCCTTGTCTATTTCTTATTACCCATTTATTTACAAACAGGTGATGGGTTTACAATTCACAATGTTATGGTCTTATTTTTTTCTGTGTATTTGCGACATGTCCGATAAGAGAGGTGAGTTGGCTCAGTTGGTAAAGCGTCAGTCTGTCGAACCAAAGTTCCAGGGTTCGACTCCCACCCAGGCGGATGACTGAAGCCTGCGTTGTGTGTTAATGTGCCCCTTCCCTTGTTCATAGACGCAGGTTATGTCAAGTGGAAAACACTCCGTCCCTCGGATAGGACGTTAAATGGAGGCCCCGTGTAGAGAAGAGTCACTACCTTTGCACGTTAAGAACCCACTGCACTATTTGTATAAGAGTAGGGGAAACTCCAGTGTAGTGGTCCACCTGCACACACCCCAGTATAGTACGATAATACTCTGTATAAGAGGTCTGTACTCAAAAGGAAGAAGAAGAGAAATGCTATACCTACTTGGTCATCAAAGTTTTATGAAGCGTGAACAAAAGATCATCAATTAGTTTATTTCACAAATGGTTGTATTTTGTTCGAAATTGTACATTTTAGATTATTCTAACTGGAAAGGGTAAGAGCATTTACTCAGAATTGCCATGTCATTTGTTTAAAAGCGTGTTTTAAGCCTGTTTTTTTGTTTTTCTTCAAGCGTCGACATGTATATGATTTAAACAAATATCTGCATTTTTCTACTTATCAGTATGATGCTAACAGGTGGTGAGTTAGTTCCCTACTTATACGTTGGGATTACAAGGTGAAAATTCTTATTCATATCTAATTCACAATGCTTTACATCTTAAGGGTACTATGTCCCATTTGCAAAGGTTAAGTTCCAACGGCATTTCAAAGATAATACTAATTTAGAACTTCCCTAAAAAAGGAGGGCTTGAAAATGTATTTTAGTGGGGGAAATAACGACTATTAGTTGTCGAATCGACTTAAGTGCTATAAATCAGTAAGTAAAAGTCTGATTTTCAACCATTGTACCAAATGGTCGTACGTTTTGTGCCGCGCAAAGATTCAATCAGTTTAATTTTGGCCATTACAAAAAGTGGGTTATTGATGTAGACAAATGCTCATGTACCCTTTACAGTTCATTTTATATATATATATCATTACCAAAGAAGAAAAAGAGCCAGTCAGTCACTCAAAAGTGTCTGACCGTGAAGTCTAGCAAGTAAACGGGTTTCCTTGCATAATATTAATAATAGGACACTGCTAACGTTCACAAATAGGACATTCATATTCATAATTCCTGCAAAGTTATACACAATTTGAAACTGGCTGCAAAAGGGACATAGTATCTTTAATGTATGAATTCTTAAAAGCGTACACAATTATAGCAATAATTTCATGGAAGTCAAGATTCGATATGCTGTGCACACGTTGTGTTTAAGAAAAGCATTGTAAAATTATCCCCTCGTGAATAAATTATACATGGACTGTTCTAAAATGGTGTGAGTTTAGTAAGAATAATCATCCTGTAAAAGAAATATACAATGAACATCTTTCATACCCTTACCAATTTTTCATTTGGGCTTAAAACTCATCTCATGCTTAATGCATATTGTTAAATGTCAATGTTCTTTTTGTACAACGCATGCAAAATGAATAATGAAACTGTGCCACATTGTATGTACTATGGCACCATAACGTTTGGTGATTTATAAATGTAAGTTAACATTTAATATTTCTTTAATCTTAAGTACGTTGAATATTTATTTAAATTATTGGTACGCACATTCAGCATCTCTAGAGATGGATATGTTGCGTTTCATATTAGTATTATTTGTATTATTATTGTTAAAGTATGCGTACAAAATAATTGGCCCCGATTAATGTTTCCTGACAATTTTACGAACACAAATCTAAAAA